CGGGGCGCCCCGGGGGGCCGGGATCGAGGGTCTGCGAGGGGCTGGCAGGCCGGGCCCGGGGCTCTGCGAGGGTCGCGGGGGCCCGAGGGGCGTAGAGCCGCCACTGCCGCTCTGGGGTGCCCGGGCCGTCTTGGGGGACAGACGCCCGCTCTGCAGACGGGGAGACTGCGCTCGGCCCTCAGCCCGCCGCTGGGGAGTGTGCGTCCTGGGCCGGGTTCTCCGCGCCGGTCGCCTCTTTCTGGCCTCGCAGCGGTTCCTTGGGGGCTCCAGTCTCACAGGAGGGGAAACTGAGGCCTGGGGAACTGGCCGCGCGAAGGAGACAGTGACGTCTGACTCGTATTTGCCACGGGCCTGTGCTGTGTGTGCGTTTCACTCTCCGGACCTGCGTCGGGGGCTGTCGGGAGCCCAGCGCCCAGATGAGGAATTGAGGCTCGGGGCGGGCACGGGACTTGCCCAAGGTCACCAGTCAGCAGGTGGCGAGGATAGGGTTCGGGCCCAGAACTCGAGGCTCAGCCATCCCAGAGATGCAACCAGGCGCCCTCAGGACCAGCACGCCCGCCCTGCCTCGGCTCCAGGACTCCCCCACACGGCTCTCGCTCTTTCCTCTGGAATACTCAGAGGCTGAGCCCGTCTTCCTGACCCCGTTTCCCCCAGGAGCAGTGCTTTTCTCTAGAAGGAGTGATGTAGGAGTGATGAGAGACCATCGGGAGACTCTCCCCCCGGCCTGCTGTCCCACTCAAGGATGACAGCAGTGGCGAGAGACGGCCACCTGTCCCGGGACCTGTCATCCCTGAGGAGACGCAAGATAAAAACCTCCGTGAGAAACAGAAAGCCCCTCCTGCCACACACGGCCTTGACTTCCCTATCACAGGGCCCAGGACGCAGGTTGTCACTTAGAACAGCCTTTCCCGCAGGGCCAGCCCACGCTGTGGTTGCACAGAGTTGGCTTGTGACATCCACAGAAGCAGAGCCGATGGCTCTCCATGCCACAAAGATAGCCATTGCCCACGAAAGGTTTTCCCTGAGAGTAACACCGTCAGAGTGGCCTGTGAGGTGCGTGGGCCATGTAGGCCCTTTATTGCACTTTATTTATATGTTTTTTTAGGGAAAGGGTCTCACTTTGTTGCCCAGGCTGGAGGGCCGTGGCACTCTCATAGCTCACTGCAGCCTCAACTTCCTGGGCTCAAACAGTCCTCCCACCTCAGCCTCCCGAGTTGCTGCGACTACTGGTGCCACCTCACCAAGGCAGGGGGCAGTCACCAGGCCCAGGAGTTGATGCCACTCGAGAACACCTAGGGAGGGGCTTTGCTTTCCTGTGTCACTTCAGCCAAACCATGTTAACTCCCTGAGCCCCACCACGATGCGAATATTCCGCCCTTGCCCTCTTCCAGGAGCTGCGCTTTGTTCAGCCAAATGGAAAGTAGAGAGGTTCAGACTGGAAGTTTATCAGGTCTGCTCCCAGGTGCTGTGTGCCCTTGAACAAGCACTGCTCCTCTCTGAGCCCTGTTTCTTCAGCGTAGAAGTACTGCTCTCTGCCTGCGCCAGTGCCCTGGGCGATTGAGGACCAGAACTACACAATAAATGAGGGGCTGTCACCCTCGCCAGAGCCCACTAGAGGAAGCAAGCGAATGGCTCCTGTAGTGATGGCAACCCACCCCTGGAGGCAGGTGTTTCTGAATTCTTCCCCCACTCCCACTCCAAGGTCAAACTTGAGAATAACCCCTGTGTCCCCACCAATTGGGAAGTGATGTTAACTCCGGGCAGGCTGTGGCTTGCTGTCATCCAGACCTCAGTTTCCCAGTCTCAGCACCTTCCTGCCTCTTTAGTTCAGGAGTTGAATTTTTTGTTTGGCTTCTAATCTTGACCCAGAGAACCCAGTCTAGCACTTAAAGGCTCCAAGGAGACTGTCATCCTCCATCTGCCCGTGAGGGTGTGGCTTGGTCAAGGTGGCCAGCCAGATGGAGGTGGCCCCTGAACCCGAGAGTAACCCCAGATTCCCTCCCTCCCACCCCAGGATTCCTCTGTTTACATTTGTAGCCTTCCTTCAGACCTCTGTCTTCTAGGAAAGTTTAATTTGCCATGACCTTGAAGTTATGGTCTCATAATTCTTAGACCTTGTAAAGTTTACACTTCCTAATTACACACGGTGTGCTAATAAAAGCCGGGGGAGTCCAAGACCGTGGAGTGTGGCCGATGACAGGGCTGCTCGACTTTGTGTATCCCTGTACTTGTGTGACGGGATGTGGGGAAAGTCTTAGGGAGAGTCCACGCTGAACTGCCTGGTACTGAACGACTGCTCAACGCATAAAGGCAATTCTGTGTTGGCGCTGAGCGCACCCCTGGGCTTTCTCTATAGATCAAGGGCTGAGTGGCTGTTCCTTTTCTGCCTGGGTTACATTTTGCCAAAGCCTATTCTCCTAAGCCCATCGATCATTTGTGGTGTGAACTTGGCCCTGTGGCTCCCTGGAATCATTCAACACCAGCCTGGCATGGCCCCCGCCATCTCCTCAGGGCACATTTATCCCTTAGTGAGATGGATGGCCTTTGTGGGAGTGCAATGACCCTGTTGCTCATTGCAGCCTCAACCTCCTGGGTTCAAGCAGTCCTCCCGCCTTAGCCTCCCAAGCCACTGGGACTACTGATGCCACCTCACCAAGCTAACTTTTTTTTTTTGTAGAGCCAGGGACTCACTGTGTTGCCCAGGCTGGTCTCAAACTCCTGGGCTCAAGCAGTTCTCCGACCTTGGCCTCCCAAAGTGCTGGGATTACAGGCGTGAGCTACCACACCTGGCCTCTGCTGCACTTGAATTCTTTCTCCCAGTCGTCTTTCCCCGGGCCTTCTGTGTTCCCGGCTTCTGTCTTGGTGCAGGGGCAGCAGAGACAACTTGGGTGGGTCAGGGAAGCAGACACAGACTGAGGCCTGGAGTCCAGGTGTGTGCAGATCAGGGTGATGGGCTTCTAGCACAGCTGGATTCAGCCCCTGCCACGTTTAGCCACTGGAGGTTGCAGCAGTCAGGCGTGTCAAGTTCCGGCCCCCGAGAGTTCATCTTTTAGTGCGCGAAATTCCGGTGCTGAGGCTGGCGGGATGGGATTGGCGTCCCCACCATGGCTTCAGAGAGGTCACGCCAGGCCTGAGCTTTGGGGCTTCTCAGGCAGAGATTTAGAGCAAGCTCCTGGTGGCAGAGGCCAGACTCGTCTGTTTCATCCACACGGGTCCTTCGGATCAGTGAGTTTTACTCCTAGGTCCATGGAGCAAGTAAACAGACACATGGTGTTAAGGCTGTGTATAAAGAGAAAGGGTCGTGAAGGGAGAGCTGATGGGGGGCCTGGAAAGCGGGGAGCCAGGTAACTGCAGAAAGAAACACTCGAGAAGAGGGAGCCGGGCTCGGTGGCCCAGGCTGTCATCCCGCGCCTTGGGAGGCTGAGGTGAGTGGATTGCCTGAGCC